CGTCCAGCTCCCAGGCCTCGCTCCCACGCCGCCCTCCGCGCCCTGCCGGACTCGCGGACGCTGAGCCTCCTCCTCCAGTTTGCCTCACACACCACCAGAAAAGTCTTTCTAAAATGCGCCCATAAATCTCCTTGTTAGCGGCCCAGGATAGAGTTCAGATTATGGAAGGACAGGCAAAGCTCTGCAAAGTCCGGCCCTGCCAGCATTTCCACCGTCTTCCTCCCCGTGCGTCAGCCTTGCCACATTGTTGGCGATCTTCTCCGTGTCTTCTTTCCTCCACAGGCTTTATTTCCCAGTGCCTTTGCGCAGAATGTCCCCTCGGTCAGGAATATCCTCCCTGGGTGACTAATACCCACTTATCTTTAAATAACTTCCTCTACCAACTGCTGGGAAACCCTTCCCAACCCTCCCATGTTGGCTACTCTCTTTGTGTCCCTATCATAGTACCAGCAGCATTTTACTGCATTTACTTCTTTATATGTCTTCCCTATACCTCACTTGGTCATCTTTAAATCCTCAGCGCAGAGTATGCCAAATAGCATGCCCTTAAACAAATGTTACTAATGAGTGACTTATGTGGGAAGACTGAAGTTGAGGAGAATGTCATTGGAAGTTACTAACAGAAAGGCTGGAATCCATACCATCTTAGTCCTTCAGCTGGTGACATCTCTTGATTCTTGAAGACTCAGAAGGCAACTCCTCCAGGCAGCCTCTTTTGACTGCCCCAGGCTGTCATCTCTCTTTCAACATGTCTGTCTTTGGACTTTTAACCTGCTCACATATATGAGCTGACTGGAATGTAGTCTCTATGCACCTAGCCAGGACCAACAAAAAAGTTAGGGGGGAAGGATGTGATGCTGCTGAACCTTTTCCCCAGTTTACCAGGTAACTCACTCCTCTTCCCCTGGAGAGAGATGAGTGAGGTCACAGAAGAGGCCCGAAGTGTTGTTCAGCTAAAGTCCCTCCATGTGGAAGTATGAACCTGAAGAACTGGGGGTTCCCCAACATATCTTAAATCCATTCTCTTCCCAGATAGATCACCTTCCCAGTAACTTAATAATAAGTCCCACTGGCTCTCTTCATTCATTCATCGAGCTAATTATTGAGCACCTATTATGGGCCACACACTGTTCTACACACTGGAGATACAGCAGTGAGCAAATACACAAACTCTTTGCTCTCATGGAGCTTACATTCTAGTGGGATGAGACAGACAAAAACAAATATATATAATAATAGTAAATATATAATAGGTCAAGTGTTACAAAGAAAAATAAAGCAGAGCAAGAGAAAGAGTGACAGGGAGGTGGTACGATTTTAGACAGGGTAGTCATGGAAGACCTCTGTTACGATGGCGTTTGAGCAGAGACCTAAATGCAGTGAGGGAGTCAATTGAGTGTCCCAGACAGAAACTATAAAGATCCTGAAGCAGAATGTTTGAGAACACTGTAGCACTCCTGTTTTGAACCTCCCACCACTAACTTCCCTTCCCCACCTGAGGTTTCCTTTGCACCTATGCTCTTACATTATTACCTTGACTACGCTCTCACCTCTCCAAGCTTTACTCACCCACCTCACTGCCTTCCCCACTGCCCCACTTCAGTGTT